AAAACAATTACATTTCTCTTTAGGAGAAATCATCTAACATCTAGTTTGATCTAATATATAATAATAGAGTAAATAAATATTTGACTATTTCAATATTATTATTATTATTATTATTATTATTATTATTATTATTATTTGATAATATGAGAATCCGTCGTCGTTACTTGTTTAGTGAGCTCGGAGTAAATTTGCAATCGAACCTAATACCCCTGCAAATTAGGTTCGACAAGACAAGTCATATTTCAATATTATTTTTAGCTTTATATTTCCTTTATTATTCAAATTTATTCTCACTTATTTTTTTTAGTTATCATCCAAACTTATTTCCGTTTCTATTTTTAATAAAAAATACCAATTTTTTCTAAATTTTCTTTACCCTAAAAGAAAAGAGTTTCTATTTTTATCTACTTTTTTTTAAATCCGTGCCCGGTAAGCATACTTTTACATTACGGATGGAGTAAATGATATAATGCTAGTATTATAATTATAATAAAGTACTCCCTTCGTTCGGCGAAAGATGAACCTTTTTGTCAGGGACACAGTATATTTTAGATAGTATAAATTAGTAAATTATTAATAATAAGTTATGATAATATTTTTATTATTATTTATATGAATAATATTGTTGGTATTTTAAATATTTTTAGAACTATATCTCAATAAAATATATCAAAATGAATATCATTTTGTAGATAATAAAACTTTATATAATACAAATGAATAAAAAAAATCTATTTATTTATTTATCATTATCGTAAATTAGTTTTATAAAAAATGAGAAGTTTTAAAGATAGATAAAAATATTTATTTGTTAATTGAAGAGAGATACAGAAATAAAGGGATTTTGAGTGGGTCCTACGTATAAGATGTTAGAAATCTAATTAAATTAATTTATATTTGTTAATTATATTTAAAATTGATAAACTTACAAAAATAAAAATTGGTGATCTTTTATTTTTTTTGGATGACGTGGGAACTCGCAGCCGTTACCCGAAAATGCGTATTGGGTAAACTCCCGGCCAAATCTAATACCCTGCAAACCAGGCCCGACGGAGAGAGTATATAGTATATTGTTAAATTATTGTAAACTAATTATACATAGATATTATAATTTACTAAACATATATCATTTGTATTTTATGTATAAATATCATGAAAATCATTATAATTATTTTATTATTTTTTGGCATATATATAATAAAATAATATAATAGTACGTTTTAAAGCATATATATATTATAGATAATTTTATTCATGTAGCATTTTGCCACAATATTTAATATAAATATATTTAGGACTAAAAAAAAATTATAATTAGTGACCAATTTGTCTGGCTAAACATTACTTTTACCAAAAAAAAAAAAAAAAAAAGCTATTGCTAATTTTCTATAAAAAATAATTATGAATAAATATAATTTATCATTTTCTTTTTATTATATTCAGTGGGATAATTTTATTATATATTTATTGCATAACAAATTTTATTAGGATCATCAAAATATGAATATTGAATTATCAATTAGAATCATGAGTTGACTATAATTATTAAAATAAAATTATAATTGTAACATTACAAGCATCATTAATTGTTGCCTCGATAATAAGTTGTTCGATTTCTCCCATAGATCACAAACCAAACCTCAAATAATAACTTCCTTTTGTTCTTTTGGATTTATTTTAATTTTTTTTGTAATTATATACTCTCTCCGTCCCATAAAAAAGTATCCATTTGTTTTTTCAAGTAGTTTTAGAAATATTAGTATTATATTAAAATATAATAGAAATAAAATAGAAATGACTAAAATAACCTTATTAGTACGTGTAATATAAAGGTAATGACATTTGTGTAATATATTGTAAGTTGTAAGGGTATTTGCAACGTTATGTAGATAGTACAATTACTTAAAAAGGAAATGAATACTTTGTTATGGAACGAACTAAAATGAAAAAATAGATATTTTGTTATGGGAGGAAGGAAATAATTATTATGACTTTTTATAAAATATATATATATTATTTTCAAAAAAAAAAAAAAACCTTAAAATGTATACCTTTATTAGATATATTAATTGGTTTATTTGACCTAATCAACAAGGATTGCAGCTTATAATTTATGATGTAATATTTTAAATTTAAAAAAAAAAAAGTCTTAGGGTGTTTACTTGACAGGTTTTACACTTATTTTATTGTTTCAATTTTTTTTTCCTTAAAAAACATCAAATTAAACACCTAATTTTTATTTATTTTTATTACACTAAAATCTTACACTCAAAACATCACATCAATACATATTTATATCACATCAAACAACTATTTCAATTCAAAATTTTACTATTCAAAATAAGAACCCCACAAATAAACACACATATTTAAATGCATATTTTTTATGGTGTGTCCGGATATGGTCTTGGGAGTAGGATTTGAAAATAAAAAAAATAATAAAAATATTGAATTGAAATTAAATTTTTAATATGACATAAAATGGTATTTAATACTCCCTTGATTCCAAACAAGGTGTAATATTTGCATTTGACACGGTTTTTTAGATGAATAGTATTAAGTAGGATAATTTAGAAATTATGTGATGTGATAGAAAGATAAATGTATATTTTATTTTTATATTTGGATAATGTGAGGGGATAAAATATGAGATAGAGATTAAATATGATTAATTATTTCCTATTTTGGAAATGTTGCACAGTGTTTGGGATATATCAAAAATGAAATATTGCAAATTGTTTGGGACGGAGGGAGTATAAAATTTTAGGGTAAACTATTTTTAGTCACGTAATTGACCCTTTATTATTTTAGTCTTGTAAATGGAGTATGTCGCAAACTAGTCCCATAAGTGAAAATTTTTCGTTGTTTTAGTCCTTCGGCGCCGGAGACATCCGCGTGGCTTGCCGGAGACTACGTGTCCGCTAGGTCAACGACTCCTGGCGGACACGTGGATTTTATTATTATTATTATTTATTTTTTTATTTTTTAAAAAAATTTATTTGCTTTTTTAATCTTTTTTTTTATTTGGTCCAATTGAAACAAAAAAAATTAAATATAAAAAAATAAAATTCACGTGTCCGCCACGTGTCGCTGACTTGGTGGGACACGTGGCTTCCGGCGAGCCACGCGGACGTCTCCGGTGCCGGAGGACTAAAATAACGAAAAATTCTGTTTATTATAAATGTTCATTATGATTTATGATATACCGCCGTGTGTGCCTAATAAAGTTATTTTTCTTCTACCGTAGACGTAACCAACATCTCACAATAATGAACCATGTAATTGTGTTTGTCGATTCTTTTTATTTTATTTTTGCGGGTTTACACCCTTGGACTTTTAAGTAATAAATTTGAACTATGCATTTGTTTGGGGATATTAATAATAATAAAAATTAACAATAGCTACATATACTACTACCATGTCTATAAGGATCATATCAACATTAATTAGGATTCCAAGAAGATCTAAAAAGTGGAAATATCAATCTCTTACCATAATCCTTCTATCTTACAAAAGATTTTCATCTATAAATTAGCTATTTCTTCGCAGTAGTTGGCACCCCAAAAAATTCATATGATTTCTACTATTTCAATGGCGAATTCTTATCATTTTTCCATAGCCCTTTTCGTCGCCGCCCTTTTCTCATTTGCCGCAGCTAAACCTCAATATTCTCCCCGACATTATCTCCGAGAGAACAACTTGATCGTGACTGGCCGAGTCTGCTGCACCACCGACGGCGAGTGCCCGGGACCTGGCCTCAATGGAGCGGTCAGTCGGCTGGACTGTAATGATCGCAACATGGGTATTGTTGGTTTTTTTTTTTTTATTATAATGGAATGAATTTTATTATTAAACAAAATGATGCTAAGAATCGATAATTACAATGAAGGTTTGAGGTCTATATATAGATTACTAAGCTTGTAACTAACACGTATTAAAGCCTCATAATCATGTTGTTAGAATATGGAATTGAAATTCTCTTCATAAGAATTTTATTTATGTTAGTTATCTTATTTAACAGATTTATAAGATTTTTGACTTATTTAAATAATTTGTATATCACTATAAATATACATATTATTAAATTTTGAAATTGAATTTAAAATTTCAAATTCAAAATTCAATTTTGAGGATTTATTTCACAATTATTCTAACACATTAATTCTCAACAGGTAAAAATACCTTGGAAACAACCACCACTGTCGATGGTAACATCTCATTCTTCGTGGAAGGGCATAAAGAGCCTTTTTCAGAAGATATTATAATCCCGACATGCATGGTCTTTACAGAGCTTCCTGTCAAGGGTTGCGCCTTGCTTAACTACGAAGGCGAAATTCAATCGATTCTCCAAGTTACCAAAATCGCAAAACTTGTGAAATACACGGGCAACGAGGCTTACATCCCGTATAATATAAGTGAAACAATTTTTCTTTCTAGAGTCGATTCTTTGTATTAGAATTGACTTCTATTGTTGTCGTGCTCGCCGATGTTTCTTCTCGACCGTCTTTTAAAATCTCTAGTATACATATATAACTATGAATGGTGTAATAAAGAGCAAGAAATAGACATGCTTAAGGCATCCATACTTGTTTGTCTTTAAGAAATGAATGAGAATAAAGTCGTATTGTTGTACTAAAACTATTATATATGAAATAAAATAAAATAAAACTCATATTATTAATTAATTAAATATTATTACTTTAAATAAAATATTTTCAATTCAACGGTTTAATTATAATGAAATGAATGAAGGAAGTCCATTGATATAATCTATTTTTTAAAAAATTAATTAATAATAAAAATTAATTATTTAAAAATATGTGTAATAAAAATATATTTTAATAATATATATGATTAAAAAAATTAAAATATAATCAAAATCCTAAGTCCTCTTCTATAAATTCAAAAGAAATTCCATACACACGCCATTTTTTTAATTGACGAAACTACCCCTCAGTCCTCTTCTATAAATTCAAAACCCTAAATCAGATGACCGCCTCAATTTTCTGGACGCCTCCGCCTTCGGCCTGCTTCTAATCTCCATGCTCGCGAGCCAGCCAGGTAAGAAAATCTCTGTTGCAGATCTTTTTCTTATATATTTAGATCTGGAATAACACAAGCACACACATTCACGGTTCGGAGGAGGCTCTGTGATGAGGATATCGATAAATCTCGTTAATCTGATTCATATCTAATGAGGATAATCATCCAAATCCATTCGTTTTCGTCTCTGAGCGCCTCCTCCGCCTTTCTTATTTACCATTTCCTTACCATCCTCTTCTATTTTATTTTATTCAATCAAGACGAAGAAGACGATCAGTGTTTGGTTGGGGCGCCGCCTGCTACAAATAAACAGATCGATCAATTTTTTTAATTTTTTTTTTTTTGAATTAGGTTTGTTTCAATTCAATTCAATAGTTCTGCGGATTGGTTTGAATTTCTCGTCCAAATCTGTTAAAGGTAGAGCTATTAAACGAACCGAGTTGATCGTGAACTCGGCTCGGTTAAAGCTCGTTCGACGGAACGAACCGATCAACATATAATTTATATATAAATTTAAAAAAATAAGACAAACAAGCTCGAACTAACTCGAACGTGCTTAATCGACCCTAAACGAGTTGAACACGAACACGAGCTCAAACAACAAAAATTCTTACGAGCCGAGTTCGAACACTACGAACGAGCTCGAAAGCTTAACGAACGAACCCGAGTTTTGTTCGCGAACGTTAACGAATACTTAAAATTTGGTTCAGATTCGGTTCGGATCTTTAACGGCTCTGGTTAAAGAGTTAAAGGGGAGTTTGAAAAAATAGAAGAAATTGTAAAAGAAATTACACACTAGTATGTTTCGGTAAAATAAGTCACCCGTGAAAATAAAATATATGCATTTCGGTGAATTGGATAGAAAGATCTCATTTTTTATGTTTGGTTTATATTTATTTATTTCGTCTATATATATTTCCAACTTTTTAATTTTTAGTTCTTTTCAAAAAATTGCTATTCTGTTCTGATTTTATTAAAATTAATAGACTTCAAAATGAGATACAAATATATGTATATATTATTTTTAAATTTAAAAATTTAATTTTGAAATTTGATTTTGGTATTTATGAGTAGAGCTCGCAAAAATTTATTCGACGTCAAATAATTGAGTTTGGGTCAAAAATATGGGTTGACATGAAATCCATACGATAATAAATAGGGCTTTGGGTCAAAGATTTTAACCCGATTATGTATATGGGTTGACACGAATTCGATACAATAATAAATAGTTCTTTCAACTATAATTTGATATGACAACCGATTATAATATATTAATATTGATTAATATATTTTTTATATATGTAAAATAAATATAATTTAGTAATTTTTCATAAATTAAGTTAAATTTTAAATAATTCAATTTATTTTAGGTTCAAATCAATAAAAATTAACATAACACGAACTCGATACAATTATAAACGGCTCAGGTTAGGGTTGAGTAATTTAACTCGTTTAAAGTATTCAGTCTCGGTTCATTGTGGTGGGTCACATAGTTAAAGTGATATTCTATTTATTTATTAAAAATTTATTTATTTTTCCATTTTAGTTTGTCCTATAATAAATTATTTTTTTTAGTAATTATATTATCTATTTATTTAATATTACAAATACCTTTCAATTTATAATAATTATAAATGTCATTACACTTATATCATACAATACTTATAAGATTAATTTAATGTTTTTACTTTTATTTTTACTACATTTTAATATAATACTAATATTTTTAAAACTTCTTCCAAAAAATAAATAAATATATAAATATGAGATGGATGAAGCATGATATACTATTTGTATGTAGAGCTATTAAACAAACTGAGCCGTTCGGAAACTCTATTCGGCTCGATTCGGTTCGATTAAAAATCGTTCGCGAACACGAATAAATATTATATATACATATAAAATTATAATTTATAAATAAATAAAATATTAATTTAAAATATATAAATAAAATAATTTTAAATTTTCTTTTTAATTTATATATAAATAATAATAATAGAAAAAAGACAAATGAGCTTGAAGGAGTATGATCAAGTCTAATCGAACTGAACACGGACATGAGTTTAAACAACAAAAATTTTTAACGAGTCGAATTGAAAATTTTAACGAACGAACACGAATCTTGTTTGCAAACGTTAACAAACACTTAAAATTTGGCTCGATTTGTTACCAGCTCTGTTTGTATGTATATGTAATATATAGTATATACATATATATGCTTAAAATATTTTTCGACAACTCGTCGGACGGGGTTGTGAGAAAAAAATGTTGGACCTCTCTTAGAAAGCCAAAATATATATTTTTATTTCCAATGTAATATAAATTGATTATAATTCAAAATATATATTTTTATTTCCAATGTAATCTAAATTGATTATAATTTGTTTTTATCCATAATTTAAATTAATTAGGATTTAATTTCATCCATTATCTATCAATATCAAAAAATAAAATAGTCACTCCATTTGTGCTTCACTTTTCTCGGGCCTTAATCTCAGCTTTGGGCCTCCGATTGAGCGGCTTCGATTTGACCTTTCGGACACCTGGACCGACTATTTTTCTTGTAGGCTTGAGTAATTTTTCCAAAAATGACTTTTGAGCTAACAATATACTCTCTCATCTCTGTTTCGTAAATATAGTCTTAATTGAGTTGGACACAGAATTTAAGGAATATTGATATTATATTGGTAGTGGGTAAAAGATATAGATAAAAGATATCCTTGTGAGAGTATTAGTGTAAAAAGTAGTGGCAATTGTATAATAATAATGAAAAAGTAAGGATAGTTTTACAGTGATATGGTTATTTATGAAAATAAAATTATTTTTTTGGGACGGATAAAAATAGTAAATAAGACTATTATATTGGGACGCAGGGAACATTTCATTTTTTTGAATTTAAAGTACTCTTTTTATTAATTTTGTCCGTCTAATTTGAAAGTGTTCTTTTCTTTTTTTAGGAAAAGAAAAAATATATACTAATACCAACATTTTTTTTAAGTTTTTTTATTTTAAAATTACGACTATATCATTGCATATAATTATTTTATACAAAAAATCAAAAGTTAAAAATATCAAAAATTTTTACCCACTTTTATTAATTAATAAAATATTATTATTTCTTCCTCTTTTATAAAATTTCAAAAGCCCTTTTAAAAAAGAATGGAGAAGTATAATACTTTCTCCCTCAACTTTACTTGTTTTTTGATAAAATAATATGATATAAATTGTGAACATTTTTAGAATCAAATTAAATAATAATAATAATAATAATAATAATAATAATAGTAGTTCTGTAAGAGATAGTCTACTTGTAGATGTATGGATGGTGAACTCAAAATCCTTCTAATCTTATATGTTTATTACATTTGATCGAGAGTTTATCCAATATGTATTAAAAAAAAATGTGTTGAAAGTTTATCAAGAATTAAATCTTAAACTTAAAATCTATCGTAGTAAATAATTGATATAAAAAAAATAAAGAAAATAAATTTAACTTGATTCCATTGGCGCAATATGATTCAAATTTGCGGATTAATTCAGAGTTTTGTGTTCTTCAAGTTTATAACGCAATTCTTTTTGAAAAAAACCCCTAAGTGTCTGCCTTTTATGAGATATGAAAAATAATAGACATTATGTTTACACCTGAGATCACAACCTTAAATATTATTTCTTATTCTTAATTGGTATCATAACTCAATTAATAATTTATCGGGTCTCTGTTAATATATTTTAAATCTAATAAATTTAATAGATCACTTAATTGGCTTAATTGGCAACAAGTTAATATTCAACACAATATTATTAAAATATATGTAATAAAATTATTAGTGAATAAATTTTTAATAAATAGAGTGTGTATTGTTTTCCCAACCACGACCTAAATAATATATATTATATTCTTTTACAAAATATTAACATTTTAATATAATATTATTTTTTATATTATCGACACAATTTTTTATATTTTATATAAAAAAAATAAAAATAAAAATACATTTCAAACAAAACTACTAAACTAACATAATTATGTAGGACGGTAGAAGTATTATTATAAATAAAATTAAATTATGTTGTTAAATAATACTTCATCTGTCTTATTGAAGTTTGCTTTTTATTTTTATTTTTATTTTTCTATATTAAGTATGGTCATATAGTAAAAAAAATAAATAAATCAAACATTCTGTAAAAAGTATTTTTCTTTATTTACATCATTGTTAGGTGGACCCCATTCTTTATTTTTACATTTCTTTTTTTTTTTATATTAAAAAATATATTTTAATTAAATTAATTAATTATTTTAAATAAATTTAACGCTAATATTACATTTATATTACTTTAACCATATTTCAAATTCACTTTAATTTTATTTATTTTTTATTTGTGTATAAACATTATTCATTTCCCTTACACATATATAAATTATTAAAATTAAAGTACAAAAAATATAAATATTATTCCTATGTCCATGAAAAATGTGCTTATATAAATTAAAAACAAATTTTAATGATTATATTATTGCCTCCGCTCCAGCTAAATTGTTATGTTTAGGTTATGCATAGAGTTTTGGATATTTTGTAATTAATAAATAATTAAGAAGTGTATTAATAAAAATAATTATAATTAATAAAAATAATTATAATTCAATAAAAATAATTATAAATTGAGATTAAAATAACTAAATAGTTTAATTAAAATAAAAAAATTATAAATTATTAATTTTAAAATGTGATTAAAGTGTATAATTATATATTTTTTTTAAAAAAATGATAAATTATGTTAGACGGACGAAAATAAAAATATGAGACAAATTAAGTTGGACGGTGGGAATATTATATTAAATGATTGCGATATAAAATGACATATTTTGGAAATTATGTATAGAAGTAAATTAATAAGGTAAGACAAAATTTTAAATAAATTGAGTATGTAGTTGTTAATGGCATAAATGTAAATAAATATACTAATATTGAATGATAAAATATAAAAAAATGTGTAATATTTTATTAATAGAAAATATTGTATATTTTTTAGAAAAAAAAGCACAGATTTAATAAATATATAGAGTATTAATTTATTTTATACATAATTTTTATTATATACTCTCTTGGTGGTATTTTGGGATTTTATACTAATTAAAAAATAATAATATTTTATTAATTAGTGAAAGTGTGTAAGAAATTGTGATATTTTAATATTTTGATTTTATGTATAAAGTAATTGTATGTGTAATTATATATTTATAATTACTTCTACTAAAACGAAAAAAATACTTTGGAGTGGACGAAAATGATAAAAAAGATAATTTGAACCAGAACTAAAGGAGTAATAAACTTTATATTAAAAAATTATAAAATAGAATAAGTTTGTTGAAAAATATAATTATAGTAAAATACTCCTTCCGTCTACGTACAAAGTAAATATTTACTTTTGGCGCGGTGTTTAAGAAATAATAATAATATTTTAATTATAGTGAGTAGTTAAAAGTAGTAAAATGATATTTTTGCCCTTCCTTTTTGGTATAAAAGTAATGATGTGATGCAAAGTAAGAGTATGTGAAAAAAAGTGAGGTATTTAATAAAATGTTTACTTTGTAATTAGACGTCCCAAAATAGAAATAAGTATACTTTATAGCTGGACGAAGGGAGTAGTTAATAATTAATATAATATATATGAGATTTATTATTTTGTATTTTAAATTATTTTTGATAAATAATTACTTATATTTTTTAATATAAAATATATATTACTCCCTCCGTCTCAGTACAATAGTCTTGTTTATTATTTTTGTCTGTCCCAAAACAATAGTTTTATTTTCATAAATAATCATATTACTATAAAGCTATCCTTATTTTTTCATTATTATTACACAATTGCCACTACTTTTTTACACTAATACACTCACAATGACAAAAAAATATTTTACTCGTAGTTTTTACTTACTACTAATATAATATTAATATTCTTTAAATCCCGTGACGAACACAAGCCAGACTATAGTTTTGGGATAGAGGGAGTATTATTTTTTATAAAATATAAAAATATATATATATATAAATTTTGTATAATCATTACATTTAAAGTAATTGGTTTTACTATTATATCAAATAATAATTTTATCCTTAAAATAAAGACACAAAATAAACCAATAATTAATAACATATCGTTGGGGTTTTTTGCAACCAAAATTACATGAAGCCAATGCACATCTTCACGCTAGAAGTCCCACTGAAATTAATCGACTCCCGGGAGCAATCAGGACTTCCTATGCGTAACAGATCGGTACCGTTCATTTTCTAAATGCCACAGACGAACGGTTCAGATCTCTCTGGCGTTGGACTCCCTTTAAAAAATCAATCCATCTTTGAAAGTCAATGGAGTCCCCATTTTGACCATGCTTGCTTCATTCATTTCTTATGCCCTAACAAATGTGAAATCTCTATTTTACCCTCCAACTCAGTGGCATTCCGTAAATATTCTCTATTACCATGTCCATTTATCTACCACTTAATTAAATAGCCAGACAAGATCACGAAGCGGGACGCTCCTAGGCGATGCGGACCGTTACGATATGATCTGACGGCTGAGATGATCCCAAATGGGCCCACCACGTGGGCCTACGTGGACCGCTTTTGTCTTACGTGGTTTTCTGACGTGGAATCTGACAGTAATGTACTCCAATCTTGGAAAGTTTTTTAAATTTTTATTAAATAATTAATGGCTTCAGTTCAGTTTAATTTTTGTTATTATAATAATCACTTACTCCCTCAATTACAAGTATCGCGTTCTTATAATATTTAAGAGAAATAATTAAAAACGTATTAGTAAAAATAAATTTGAATTAATTAATATAATCAAAATAAAAAAAATTAAATTAAAAATTTTAAAATGAAATTTAAATATATACTCTCCCTGTCCTGATACAACAGTCCTCTTTATTATTTTTGTTCGTCCCAAAACAATAGTTTAATTTATATAAATAATCATATCACTGTAAAACTACCCTTACTTTTCATTATTATTACACAATTGCCACTAATTTTTTATACTAACACACTCGCAAGGGCAAAAAGATTTTTTACCCATTACTAATATAATATTAATATTTTTTAAATTTCGTGCCAAACACAACTCTGACTATAATTCTGGAACTGAGAGAGTAATATTTTTTCAAAGAAGAAAATAACAAAATAAGTAGCACAAACCAAAATGGAAAGGTAGACCCGTAATGGAGTATTACTCCGTCTGTCCCATTAGAAGGATGACATTTGCGTTTTGCACGTAAATTTTTTAATATTAGTGTTATATTGAATTGTAGTGAAAAAAACAAAAATATCTTATTAGTACGGTGTAATATAGAAGTAATGATATTTGTAATATATTATAAGTTAAAATGGTATTTATTATATTAGTTAAGTAGTATAATTACTAAATTAAGAAAAGATAAAAAATTATTTTGAGATAAAGGAAAATAAAAAATGGTAAGTATTATTATTATTATTACTATTTTTAAATTGAAAATTTAAATTTGAAAATTGGGGCTTCTAGATCTTTCCGCGACTATAAATAGCGTTGGAGTCGGTGGGTCACTCGAACTCCATTTCAAAACAGTATCACATCTCTCCCATTGCTCCTTTTGATTCTCACATTTTTTACATTCGTTTCTGAAGATTTGTGGATCCGAAGCCTGTAATTGAAGAAATTTGGGGGAAATTTTGGCATCAATGGCGGAGAATTGCAGCAGGAAGCTGATTATAGAAGTTTGCAATGCGAAGAATTTGATGCCGAAGGATGGCCAGGGAACGGCGAGCGCCTACGTCATCGTCGATTACGACGGCCAGCGGCGCCGTACGAAGACGATATTTCGAGATCTGAATCCTCAGTGGGATGAGAAGCTCGAATTTATGGTGCACGACGTTGGTTCGATGGCGACGGAGATTCTGGAGCTTAACGTTTACAATGATAAGAAGGCTGGTAGGCGGAGCACGTTTTTGGGGAAAGTGAAGATCTCCGGCAGCAGTTTTGGCCGGTCCGGTGAGGATGTTCCGTTGGTGTATTATCCGTTGGAGAAGAGAAGTGTTTTTTCTCAGATTAAAGGCGAGATTGGCTTGAAAGTTTCGTATGTGGATGAAGAGCCTCCTCCGGCGCCGGCGCCGGAGAAAAACGACGCTGCTGCTCCGGTAGCGGCGGAGAAGCCTGCAGAGAAGGAGGAGGAGAATAAACAACCACCGCCTGAAGGTACAGAAGAGAAAAAGGAGGAAGAGAAGAAAACCGCTTCTGATGAGGCTAAGAAGGAAGAGAAACCACCGGAAACTGCACCGGCGCCTCAACCTCCGCCACCGTCTACACCACCGCCGGCGTCGACTGAAGTAGAACATCCACCAATCGCTCAACAGAAAAGCACTCAAAACTCCGAAAAAATGGCGACTCTCGAGAACTCTAAAAATCTCGAAATCGAATCTAAACTGTTCCAGAAGATCTCCGGCGGAAACGCCGATCGAAGGATCGCCTTTGATCTCGTCGACAAGATGCCATTCCTCTACGTCCGCGTCGTCAAAGCCAAAATCTCGAAGCCAGAAGCCGATTCCTCCTTCTCCGCGAAGCTAGTGATCGGAACTCACAGCATCAAGACCAAATCGCAGGCAGCCAACAAGGAATGGGATCAGGTCTTCGCCTTCGATAAAGAAGGCTTGAACTCAACTTCTCTCGAAGTTTCCGTCTGGACGCAGAATAAGAACGCCGGCGACGGCGCCGTCAACGACGTCTCCGCCGGAACGGTGTCGTTCGACCTCCAGGAGGTGCCGAAACGCGTTCCTCCAGACAGTCCACTAGCGCCGCAGTGGTACAGCTTGGAAGGCGGCGAAGGTTCACCGGGAAATGACGTCATGCTATCAGTGTGGATCGGGACTCAGGCCGACGAAGCCTTCCAGGAGGCCTGGCAGTCAGATTCCGGCGGCCTGATACCGGAAACCCGAGCCAAAGTCTACTTGTCTCCGAAGCTGTGGTATTTGAGGCTAACGGTCATCCAAACCCAGGATCTGCAGCTCGGCTCCGACTCCGAGCCTAAGGCTCGGAACCCGGAGCTATACGTTAAAGCTCAGCTCGGCGCGCAGCTATTCAAAACGAGCCGCACAATAATCGGCTCATCATCCAATCCTACGTGGAACGAGGACCTGCTTTTCGTAGCCGCCGAGCCGTTTGAGCCGTTTCTGATAGTAACGGTCGAGGACGTTACGAATGGTCACGCGGTGGGGCACGCCAAGGTGCAGTTATCCACTGTGGACCGGCGTACGGACGACAAATCCGAGCCCCGGTCCAGGTGGTTCAATCTGATTGGCGGAGATGAAAACAGCAAGCCGTACGCCGGGAGGATCCACGTGCGCGTCTGCCTCGAGGGTGGCTATCACGTGCTCGACGAGGCGGCTCACGTGACCAGCGACGTCCGCCCCACCGCCAAGCAGCTCTCCAAGCCCCCCATCGGCCTCCTCGACGTCGGCATACGTGGTGCCGCCAATTTGCTCCCAGTCAAGACGAAAGACGGGACCCGCGGGACCACCGACGCCTACGTGGTCGCCAAATATGGGCCCAAGTGGGTCCGCACGCGGTCGATCCTCGACCGCTTTAATCCCCGGTGGAACGAGCAATACACGTGGGACGTGTACGATCCGTGCACCGTGCTAACAATCGGCGTGTTCGACAACGGGAGGTACAAAAACGACGACGCCGGGAGCAAGCGAGACGTCCGGCTCGGGAAGCTCCGGGTCCGGCTCTCGACGCTCGACACGAATCGCGTGTATGTCGGGACGTATAATTTAATCGTATTGCTCCCCGGTGGCGCGAAGAAAATGGGCGAAATCGAGATCGCCGTGCGATTCTCGTGCTCATCGTGGATCAGCCTCGTCCACGCCTACGCCAACCCGACGTTGCCGCGGATGCACTACGTGAAGCCATTGGGCCCGGCCCAACAAGACGTCTTGCGGCACAACGCGATGAAAATCGTCGCGGCGAGATTGGCCAGGTCGGAACCGCCCCTCGGCCAAGAAGTCGTCCAATTCATGCTCGATTCCGACATCCACATGTGGAGCATGCGGCGGAGCAAGGCCAATTGGTTCCGCGTCGTCGGGTGCCTATCCCGTGCCGCTGCGCTCGCACGGTGGCTCGACGGGATCCGCACGTGGGTCCACCCCCCGACGTCGATTTTAGTCCACGTCCTCCTCGTCGCCGTCGCGCTCTGCCCGCACCTCGTCCTCCCGACGATTTTCATGTACGCGTTCCTAATCGTCGTCCTCCGGTTCCGTTACCGCCAGCGTGCGTCGATCACGATGGACCCGAGATTGTCCCACGTGGACGCCGTCGGGGCCGACGAGCTCGACGAGGAGTTCGACGGGTTCCCGACGTCGCGATCGGTGGACCAGATCCGGGTCCGGTACGACCGGCTGCGGGCCCTCGCGGGGCGGGCCCAAACGCTTTTGGGTGATGTGGCAGCGCAAGGGGAGAGGCTGGAGGCACTGTTCAATTGGAAAGACCCGAGGGCGACGGGGATTTTCGTCGTCGTTTGTTTGCTCGCTTCGTTGATTTTTTACGTCGTGTCCTTCAAAGCGTTCTTGTTGGCGTCGGGATTTTATTACCTCCGCCACCCGAGGTTCCGCGACGACATGCCGTCGCCGGCGATGAACTTTTTCCGGCGGCTGCCGCCGCAGTCCGATCGGATTCTCTAATATCATGATCTAATAATTATTATTTATAATAATAATTATTAATTGAGTTAATGTGATTGGTGCACTCTCTTAGTGTAGTATTTTAATTTAGTGTTTACGGGTTTCTTTCATTGTCCTGCAATAGGACAATTTATTTATTTTTAAACTTTTAAAAGTGCTTTGAATAATGTGACAGCAGAAAGTGGTTGGTCGTGTCATCTCTATCAGATTTTTATTTTATGGTGTTTGGCAAAAGTGACCGTTGGATTTATTTATTTATTAGGTTTGTGCAGAGATATAAATGGGCCTTAAATTAAATGACCGTTGCTTCGGGAGCCTCCGCGCTTTTCGTTTTTCGTTTTTCTATTTTTTCTTAAATACATTACTATTACTACCTCGTCCTCGTCCACCGCCAATTTATCCATTTGTATTTGACGTTATTATTTTTAACATTAAAAATATTTTTATATTTGTATAATTCTTTGTACAAATTTTATTTAATTAGTCTTATAAAACATCAATAGAAGTATTTTTGTCGTTTTTCCTTAATTGTATTATGTTTTGATATAATAATTAATATTTGAAAATTAACATACAAAAAGTAAATAGATAGATTGGCAGTGGACGGAGGTAGTATTTGTTTTAGAAAAAATATAAAACAATATACTTTCTCCGTCCCGGTGCAAGATTTCCGTTTACTTTTTGTAAGTAAATTTTTTAATATTAGTATTATAATGAATTGTAGTGAAAAAGACAAAAATGCTCCTATTAGTATTGTGTAATATAAAAGTAATGACATATGTATAATATAGTGTAAGCTAGAAGAATATTTATTATGTTAGATATGTAGTACAATTACTAAATTAAAAAATAATAACCTTTTAGAACAAAAATAAAAAATAAAAATTAAAAATAAAAATAAAAAATGACAACTTTTCGAATACGTTGAAGGGTGTACACATTTTAAATCTTAAGCAGGTCTAATTCAAATAAGAAAGAAAAAACAATGCTAGACTTAGATATGACCTTAAAAAGGCACTTCTCTTTTGGTATGCAGTGTTTGTTCAGAGGATTTTGAAGGATTCGTACTGTAATTTTTTTTTTTTTTTTAAATATAAAATTAAATATTTATTTTTTATTTTTAATATTATATTAAAAATTAATTTTATATTCAAAATATTATATCAATATTTATATATATCACATCATATCATTTTTTTATTTAATTTTTTTATTATTCAAATCTCAATCTAAAATTCAAATCCCTCGAACAAATACATCCTAAAAGTAGTTTCATTTTACAACGATCATTCTGTTAAAAATACGAAATGCTCAAAGTATTCTTAAAATTTTTGTTCCTATTGGACTGTTTGTAAGCATCAACATTCCGATTTTTTACTCTTTTTTCGTATTTTATAAATGTTGATCTTATAGTTAAGGGTGTGTTTGTTTGAGAGTTTTGATTTTGAGTTAAGATTTGAATAGTAAAAATTTTGAATTAAAATAATTGTATAATGTGATATAAATAAGTATTGATTTGATATTTTGAATATAAAATTAATTTTTAATATAATATAAAAAATAAAAAAATATTTGTTTAATTTGATATTTTAGATTTTTTTTTTTTTTTTAATAAATAGTACTCCGTATAAATCTTACAAAATCTGCCAAACAAACATATTTGCAATTGGCCTTGTTTCCTTTTCCTTACGATTGGTATTGAATCTATGATTTGGAAATATAGTACCTTCTCCAGAACAATATAAATTAATTGGAAAAAACTAAAATATTCATATTAGTATTACGTAAAAGAAATATAATAATATTTGTATAATATATTGTAAATTGTAAGAGTATATATAATTTTGAAATGACAAAAAAAAAAAAAAAAAAACGATAATTTGTTATGATACGAAGAAAATATATTGTTTCTTGATCGAAATACTTTTTCTTTCTTTGCGACCATTAGAGTACTGATTTTGTTAAATCAATAAATTAATACATTATTAGTAAATCATTACTTAACAGATAACATATTACTAAATGAATACATTATTTGAAAATAATTAGCAAATCGCTACAAAATAGATAATGTGTTATATATTATATTACATATTTGCTAATTTCTTTATAGACATATCTGATAAAATCAAATTATTATTATGTTGAATGATAATATATATTTTACTGAAATATAAATATATTTTGCTACAATTAATAATATAATGTGCTACATATTATATTGTTAATTACTATTTTCTCTGTAGAAATTTGCAAATTAGATCAAATCAGCACCATTCTAATTTGACCCAATCATTCTTTTTTAATTTAGATTGAACTTAAAAGTTTAACTTTTTAATTAATGAAAAATTTCATTTGTCATTTACTCTTTCCGTCCCAAAAGATTTGTCTTGTTTTTCCATTTTTGTCCGTCCCAAAATAATTGTCTTGTTTCTTTATTTAGTAGCCGTGGTCCCCACTTTATAACAAAATTATTCCTAATTTTCCATACTACCCCTAATTATTACTCTAACATACTCTTTAAAATCTTCTAAAAAAGAAAGACATTTTAGTCATTTATATTATATTTTATACCAACTTTCAATTAAATACTATTATTACTTAATTTTCGTGCCAACTTTCAATAAGACACTTCTTTTGAGACGGGGAGAAAATATTTCTTTTTTCACAAAAAAAAAATGCCATTTTTTTTTATTATAAAAAATAAAAAGTAACCAAAAGTACACCTTCACTTTAGAACTCTACCTAAAAATTTGAACACATATTTAGATAACTAAAGTGACTATTTAATTTGATATTTTATAATTTAAAAATACTTTATCCGTCCCATAACAATTCTATAACAATATATATTGTTTTCTTTTTTTTAGTAATTGTAGATTTCATTATTAATACAAATATCGCTATTTTATCACATATTTACCATTATATCATTATTTTTACATTTAAAAAAAAGTAAGAGTAAAATTATTTTTACTACGGGTGAAATTGGTCACTTCAAACTAAAAAAAAATGAAATTTTATTTGGTTCGGACTATTTGGTATGGACTATTCGCTTAATTGGTTTGGTTCGGTTCAAAACTAAATTTATAAATTTTGATTTCAATTCGGTTATAATTTTTAATTTTTAATTTTGCTTACCCGAAAAAAAAAAACTTTTAACAATAATAAAAACTTATATATTAATTAATAATATATATTACAATTTTTAGTATTTGTATTTGATTGTATATGTAAAATATACTCTATATTAATAAATAAAAATTCGGTTTCTTCGGTTTTAAACCGAATTGAAATGAACTAGTTTGGTTTGATTTATTTGGTTTTGAAAAACTTTGGCTTGATTTCGGTTTCAATTTTTATAAACTGAAAACTAATTATAATTGAAAGTTCAGTTTGGTTTGAACCGAACCGACCGAATGCACGCCCTTACATTATATTACTTTTTGTTAGAAAATTATTATATTGCAAGAATTTCAAACAATTATCGAAAATAAAATTCAATAAACAAAATAATTTATCGAAGTAAATTCAATAATCACGTCGAATCAAGGTAGAAATTTTTTCTGCAAAAAGAATACGCTTTGGCAGTGTCTCTAGTTCATGACGTAATTTTTCCAAAGATAAAATAAGGTATCGTCTTCAGATTAGGTGGCACCCAGTATTTCAGAACTCCAACGAACTATATAAATGAGAAAACTTGAGCTATGTTGGAAGGTTTGAATGATATAAGAGTTTCTGAAAAGTATAACCGAAGAACTCGTCGGAAACCTTGCCGGAGAGGAGAAAATTAGAGAGGAAGATGAGAGCTTGGTGTGTTTGAAGTGGGTGTGGAGAGGATCTTTTATAGGCATCTCCACCATTCAGAGGATTTATTCCGCGAGTTGAAAATGCAAGTAACCGACGACTAACAAATGTCTGTAATGTCCGGCCATAAACATCATATGTAATTCCGGTCATAAATATAATATTTGAATTTTAAATTTCAAATAATCATGTATGCATGCACGCAGTGACGGAACCAGCAGTAAATATTTAGGGGAGCAAAATCGATTTTTTTTTTTTTTTTTTATCGATACAATGTTGTTGTTTTTTATTCATAGTACACCCTGGAAAAAAATTGAAAAATTTAAATGTTTTAGAAAAATTTTTAACAAAATTACATACAATTTAATATTTTTTTTTACTATAAAAATTAAAATTTAAAGACTAAAAGTATAAATCAACAAACGGATAAAATTTTTATGATTTTTTACATTGCAAAATGAAAAATTAGGAGGGACAAATTATTATAAAATACATAATTTTATTATTTTTTATATAAAAGAATATATATATTTTGAGGACTACCCCTGGCCCCATGTAGTTCTGCCCCCTGCATGCACGGACTTTTTCGAGCTAACATTATTTATCATTTTATACTAGACAAAATAATATTTGATTTGAGTCCATTTCATAGTTTTCGTATCCAGTCCGGACAAGCAATGCGTATGTGGCTCACTGACATGCTATGCCATGCCTTAGCCACACTTTATGCCCTACTTATCGGATAAATAACTCATTAGTTAATTGTCACTTAAATATTTATAGTCCAATGACTATACTTAGCGTAAATTCAAATATTTAATCAAAATTAATCCAATTAATGCGATTTTTTGGTAGGTTGTATTTTCCCTCACAGATTAATCCGTTTAAAAAATTATGAATTTAATTTAAAATTATATTATATCTATTAAATTAATAATCGATTAGCCAACACATTTAACTATCTATTGTAATTAAAATATTCTTATTTATTAAACCTCATTAAAAAAATTAAATATATCTTAAGGCAAGACGAAATGAGTAAATTTTTTTTCAATAAACTTAGAACCTAAACAATAAAAAAGTGAATAAAAACTAAAGAGAAAGTAGCTTTCAACCATTAAAAAAGAGAGGTAAAATTGCTGTTGGTTATTCTTCACAGACACGAGAAACTCAATAGCAGCTCTTTTTTCATTTTTTTACTTTAAATATATTTTTTAATTTTATTTAGTTTTATAATTTTATAGTACAGAATATTTTATTCTCTATAAAATAATTTATTTTAATATGTTTTATTTAAATTTAATTTTAAAATAAATTAGATTGATATAGATATAAGTATATATATATATTATCAACGAAATTACATACTACCTATGTCCGGCTCTAAGGTCCCATTTACTTTTTGCGTGTTGATATTTGAATATTAATTATTATATGAAAACGTAATAAAGAAAAATAATAAAAATACTTGTATTAGTGTCTCATAATGCTATTATAACATTTGTGCAAAAAAGAAAAAGTATACAAATATAAGGATATTTTAAATATTAAATACAATAACACAAAAGGTAAATGAGACCTTTAGAATCGGACGAATGAAGTATTAAAATACTCCTTCGGTTCCGTTATAGCTGACATAATTTTCACTTTTGTTTGTCTCGTAACAATTGATGCGTTTATATTTTTTTAGTAAATTTATTAATATTAAATATGCTAAACAAATATAAATCAACTTAATTGAATTTTTAACATTTATTGCTTACATGTAGAATTATACAAAATCTCTTTATTTCTATCTCTTTCCAATTTCATTCAAAATCTCTTAATTTTTATATTTTTTTCAATTTCCACTCAAAATCCTTTTACTTTTATTTATTTATTTAATAAATAAACATATATATATTTTTAAATCTATATCTACATTTCTCTATTTCTTTTTTAAAATTCTCTACAAATTAATATTTTTATATTAAATATTTTATGGAAATATAATATTTAAAATATTTAAATATATATTTTAATTTTTTTTAATAATATATATTAAATTTTTATTTAAATATATAAGAGTCACCACGCACATAAAAATAATAAATTAATATCATAAAATACTATAATTAATTTACTAAATTATATTTTTCTTAGATATTATACACTAACTAAACGTGTCAACTGTGACGGAACCTGAAGAAGTATTATTTAAATTAAAAATTAAATAAAAACCCCAAAATCAAAACCAAAGAAACTTTTTCACCCATTTTTTTAAGCATGAAGTGTTATTATATATACTTCTTCCGTTCGATAAGCAAATATTCCTTTTTGCACGTAATTTTAGAAATACTAGTATTATATTAGGATATAATAAGAATAAAGTAGAAATGATTAAAATAACCTTATTAGTATGCGTGATATAAGTGTAATGACATTTGTGTAATATATTGTAAGTTGTAAAGGTATTTGTAATGTTAAGTAGATAATACAGTTACTAAAAAAAGGAAATTGATACTTTATTATGAGACAGATTAAAATAAAAAAATAAATACTTTGTTATGGAACGTAAGAGAGAGCATATTATTGCACGCACTAATTCTCCAATGGAGCATAGGTGGAGAATATGAGGACACATCAAGCCCCAATTTAATATTCTATTAATTATTATAATGTCATTTAATAGTGATTTAAAAAATTTAATTTGGGTTGAATTTATTTCCATAATTATTATATATATATATATATATATAATTAAACTACACGAAAAGGTGTATATGTTAGCTTGTAAAATAGTTTAAAGTTGTAATCTAAGTTCCATTACTTATGTATAATATTTGGAGTATTCAATGAATAACCTATTTTCTAAGTTGTTGACTTTTTAATTTCTCTTCAATAATTATTATTATTATTATTATTATTATTATGAAAAAAAAATTAATTTTGGTTTTAATATAACCAAAATTAAAAAATTTTGATTCCAATATAAAAGAACTCATCAATTTTAGTTTCATTATAAACAATTTTAATCAATTTTGGTCTAATTATAAACAATTTCAATCAATTTTGGTCACATTGTTAAAAAACTAACGGAAATTGCTGACGTGGACATAACGGAGGTGACGTGACAGCTGACCTGGAAACTATACGACCACGTATATTTCAGTGTATAATTACACATGGTCATGTTGTTACACGGTCATGTATAATTTTACACGGCCGTGTACATTTATGTTTTAGTCTAAAATTTTATTTTTCTGTTATATTTTTTTAAAAAAAAATTATTTTGAATTCAACATAGTTAAAATGGATAAAATCAATAGTAATCATAATATAATTAAAATTTATCAATTTTAATTCAAATATAAAAATTTATAAGGTATATTCTTTTGAAAGATTTGGTCTAAAATTCTATTATTCATTAAAAAATTTTCTCTTACAAACATCCAATTATACAACTATTTTTTAATTTTGTATATTAGTATTAAAAATTAATTTATTATTTCAATACAATAATCGGATGCTTGTAAGATAATTTTTTTTGATAAATAATAGAGTTTTAGACAAAATCTTCCAAAAGAACATACTCCATAAATATTTTATATTTAAATTAAATTAAAATCGATACATTTTAATTATATTATGATTATTATTATTATTTTTTTTTTCATTTTAACTATATCACCTGTTATAAATTCAAAATATATATTAAAAAAATATAACAAAAAAATAAAATTTTAGACCAAAATAGAAAGGTACACGGCCATGTAACAACATGGTTATGTATAATTATACATTGAAATATACATAACTATGTCGCCGTGTAACAACATGACCATGTATAATTATACACTGAAATATACATGACCATGTAGCAACCTGACCGTGTACAATTGTACATGGCCGTGTAGTTTCCGGTCAGCTGCTACATCACTTCTGTTATGTCTACGTCATCAATTTTCGTTAGTTTTTTTTAACTGTGAGACCAAAATTGATTGAAATTGTTTATAATTAAACAAAAATTGATTTGAATTGTTTATAATTGGACTAAAATTGATGGTTTTTTATTTTATTTTATTTTATTTTATTTTATATTGGGATCAAAATAGATTTTTTTCCCTTATTATTATTATTCCAAAATGATTTCAAAAAGGATTTTCAATTACTTTTTTAACAACAAATGTGTTACTCTGAAGTTATATGATTTTTATTTTATTTTTTTATTTGAATAGTTATAACAAGATAATATTTTGTGAGAAAAAATTATATATATATATTTTATAAAATTTTACAATATATTGCAAAAATTGAAACTAAACCCTAAAATAACATACCCATCAAGACTTGTTTTCATTTTGGAATCATTGAAAAAAATTGTTTCATTAAATTTAAATCATGATTGTATCACAATGGGTGTACATGTTTCTTTTTGGCTGAATCCATCGACTTTAGAAATTTAAATTTTTTTCCTAAACCTTTTAATATAATATTTTATGAAAAAAATATACTTCTTCCGTTGGGTTCTTAAGAATCAGAGTCTTTTGTTATTTACTTTATGCACGTAGATTTTTTATAATGAGTTGTAGTGAAAAAGACGAAGATACCCCTATTAGTATTGTTTAATATAAAAGTAATGATATTTGTGTAATATAGTGTAAGTTGGGAGGGTATTTATTATGTTAGGTAGGTAGTACAATTACTAAATTAGGAAATGGTAACCTTGTTTTGGGACGGACGAAAATGGAAAATGACAACCTTTTAACGGGACAGAGGGAGTATATATTTTTCCGGTAAACAACATGTATCGAGACCAAAAAAACATACCATTTCCTTTCTCCATAAATTTTTCATGCAAATAAACTTCATCATATTTAACTTCTACCATATATATATATATATATTTATTTTGAATAAATATTTGTAGCGTGTAATTTTGGCAAAAATATAATTAAATTGATTCACTTATATATGCATAAATATGAGCTTTGAAAAAATAAAAAAAAAAAAAAATCTGAGACTTTTGAGTCAAAATAAAACCTTTGCATGTGAGGAAACAATAAATGTATGTACAAGTAGAATTATATATTTAGTACCTACAATACAGACAACATTATTAAATATAACCTGAAGTAACATACTTATATATATATATATTTTAAATTTTATTTCTTTCAAATATTTTTGTTTTTCAATACATGATGATTAAGTTGTATTGACATCAGAAAATATATTTACAATTCATGTTGACTTACATAAATGATCAATCCAATATATATATATATATATTAAATAAATAAATTTTGGTTTCAATAGATAACCAAAAAATAAAAAACATATACAACAAACATTTTTTATTTATTATTTATTTTTCTTACATATATATATATATATCCATGCATAATATTAAATCGAGAAAACCCAATTGAGTTTTCATTATTGACACACAAATAACACATTATAATTATTAAGTAAAATAGAAATAGAAAAAGAAAAAGAAAAAGAAACCCTCAATTTAATAAACCAAGAATTTCCAATCAAATTCCCAATCTTTTCCACCAAAAGAAATCCTTTCTCTCTCTCACACACACACAATAGTGTGTGTATAAATACATGTATGTATATATTTATACGTATGTATACATATTGAACTTATTTTTTTTTTTACTATGTACGATTAATCAATATTTATCGAACAATTTATAATATAAATATTAATTAATTAAAAAAAATGTCGATATTTTGACGATGCCCTTACGCGTAGTCGCATAATCCGTATATACAATAGCCCCCGGGCATGCACCGGTTATTGCACGAACCACAATGTCTCTTGTCGAAGGCGAGGGTGACACATTGCCCTCGACAACAAGTTTCCGTGACCTCGCATTTTTTCTTACACGCCCCACAATTGTCATTGTCATACGCCAAATCGACACACTTATTGTTGCAGCACGTCGCGTTCTTGCTGTCGCTCAACACTACCCCGCAAATCCGGTCGTCCTTGTGGCAATGGTCGGCCGCATTAGGGTTTCTTGCGTGGCCATTTTGTTGGAGAAAGCGACTCGCCTGCCGTGGGGATGGCACCTTGGCCGGAGGAGGGTTTTCCGGTGGAGTGGTGGTGGCGGCGGCGGTGGTGGTGGTTGTCGTCGGGATTAGGGTTAGGGTTAGGACTAGGGTTAGGGTTAGGGTTAGGGCTATGATAGAGAAGATGGTTTTGAAAATTGGCCTCATTGTTTTAAATTTGTGTGTTTTGATTTGGGAAATTGGGAATAATTAGGGTTATATATGTGTATATGTATATGTATATGTATGTATGTATATGTATATGTGTATATATATATATATATGTATGTATATGAACAAGTAAGGTAAAAGGAAAGGGAAGAGTTGACCCTTAAATTTTGGTGAAGGGACCCTTGGCTTAAGGTTGATACATGGAGTGACTTAATTCTTTATTACTATTATAATAAATTAATTAATTAATTATGTTCATACATATATTTATAGATTTATTAAATATAAGGTCGGCACAATATGATATGTTAAGAAATTTTACGTCGTATCGTATATCATACTAAAAATATTAATAGGGGAAAATTTCATATTAACACAATGTCAAATGATTTGATATAGTGAAAATTACATTATAAAAAAATTATATCGACACTTCCGATTTTTTACATACTATACCAATTTTTTCAATGTCTTTGCTATATCGTATTGAAAATTAATATATCGAAATTAATAATATACTGTAAAATTATAGATATACACAAAAAAACATGAATACTAGAAATATGTAATGATACAAAAAATTACCATAATTGAAAATAATAATAATATAATAATATTTTTATTTCTTTTTATTTAGTTCTAATTTTAATTATTTTATTCTATGTAGTATGATGATATATACCGTTATACCAATATATACCGAGCATTTGTATATATGGGTATATATATATATATATATAGGGTAAACTGTTTTTTTAGTCTCGTAACTGGACCCCTTTGTTGAGGACTCCCGTTTGCGGGATATGTGGCTTAGTTTCCTTAACAAGTTCGAGCTTTTAGGTGAGACGGTCATTAGCTTCCGACATTTAAAATAAGTTGTTCATAATTTTACTCCAGGTCACTCCAGGTCACTCCAGGTGAGACGGTCATTAGCTATCATTAGCTTCCGACATTTAAATTTGTGTGTTTTGATTTGGGAAATTGGGAATAATTAGGGTTATATATGTGTATATGTATATGTATATGTATGTATGTATATGTATATGTGTATATATATATATATGTATGTATATGGTGTATATGCGGCGGCCGTTGGCGGCGATCTTTGCACCGTCGTGTTCGGAATTTGATTTCCTCCGCGATGGTATCTTCACTTCCTCGGTTTGAGCAGTTTTTTGTATCCGGTTGACTTTTTGTGTTTCGGGTTTTGATTCGGTTTCTTTCGTTTCGGCTTTCGGCTTGAGGTTTGAGATTCTGTTTTCTCTTGAGTTTCTATGGAAAAGATGGATGTACATATTCCGATCAATGTTGTTTTGTCTGGAGATAATTACAGTTTGTGGGCACAATCGATGAAAAGTTTTTTGATAGGTCGGAAATTGTGGCGAATTGTTACGGGAGATATAGTTGCCCCCATTGCTCCAGTCTCTATAGGAGAAGTTACGCCTACCGCCACAGTTGTTGAATCTTATATTGAAAAATTGGAAGATTGGGATAGTAAAAACCATCAAATTCTCACTTGGTTGCGCAATACTTCCACTCCGGCGATCCATGTTCAGCTTGCCCAATTTGACACTGCCAAGGCAGCGTGGGATTTCTTGGCAGTCCGCTTCCGTGCTACTGGTTTGGCACATTATTATCAGTTATGGAGCACTCTCCACGATCTAAAACAGGAACCAGGACAATCTATCAACGACTTCCTTGCCCAAGTGCAACCCCTTTGGCATCGGTTGGATCAAGCAGAGATCAGTCATGATCATCTTCGCCTCATTCAGGTCTTAATGGCTTTGCGTCCAGAGTATGAGGCAGTTCGTGCCTCTTTGTTACATCGGCATCCACTTCCTACCTTGGATGCAGCTATTCAGGAGATTCTGTTTGAGGAAACTCGTCTCCACCTAGCTAAGGCTCCTCAGCTTGACTCTGCTCTTGCAGTCACTGCCCGAACTCCTACTCAGAGTCGTTCTCATCGTTGCAAAAGATGTCAGTCCTCTGATCATGACTTCGGTCATTGCCCAAAGGTGGAGTGTCACTACTGTCATATTTTAGGCCATACTATACAGTATTGCCCCACTAGACCACCTCGCTCTGGAAGTAGTAACTACAAGCCTCGGAATTCTCGTGGACCTCAGTCTGGTACCTCCTCTGTCACAGCCTCTGCTGCGCCTGCGCCTGCGCCTGCGCCTCCTACGATTCAGGACCTGGAAGCTCTTCTTAAACAGGTTCTATCTTCCAATACCGCCATGTCTACCACATCAGGTAACTCTCCTTGGTATTTTGATTCTGCTTGCAGTAATCATATGACCTCTGATATACGCCTTATGACCTCCACATCCACCGCACCATCCTTACCCCCTATCCTTACTGCCGATGGTACCCATATGCGCATCACCCATACCGGACATACATCCACCTCATCCTTATCCCTCCCTGACACATATTGTATCCCTCAATTAACCTTAAATCTGATTTCCGTTGGTCAATTGGTTGATCAAGGTCTCACCGTGTTATTTTCTTCTACTGGTGTGCAGGTTCAGGACGCGCAAACCGGGCGGATTCTTGGGAAGGGCCGGAAGACGGGCCGCTTATTTGAACTTACGTCACTCCAGGTCCCTCGTCCCTCTATCTCAGCTGCCACCACCTCTACACCATCCTGCCTTCAGTGGCATCGTCGTCTCAGTCATGCGTCTTCCAATAAAGTCAGGTCCTTGATTAGTCAGGGTAGTTTGGGTTCTGTTAAGTTTGAGTCTTTTAATTGTGTAGATTGTTCGTTGGGAAAACAACCTGCTCTGTCGTTTCCTCATAGTACTTCCATTGCGGATACTCCATTTTCTTTAGTTCACTCGGATATTTGGGGACCTTCGCCCACTGTGTCTATGAATGGTTCTCGTTATTTTGTGATTTTTATTGATGACTATTCTCGTTTTACATGGATTTACTTTCTGCGGCATCGCTCTGATACCATGTCGGAAGCTAATGACCGTCTCACCTAAAAGCTCGAACTTGTTAAGGAAACTAAGCCACATATCCCGCAAACGGGAGTCCTCAACACCCTTTATTATTTTAGTCTCGTAAATGGAGTCTGTCGCAAACTAGTCCCATAAGTGAAAAATTTTCGCTGTTTTAGTCCTCCGGCGCCGGAGATGCCCGCGATCTGGCGGACACGTTGAATTTTTTTTTTTTTCATTTTTCTAATTTTTTTTAAAACTTATTTTTAATTTTATTTGTATTTTTTTATTTGGTTCAATTAAAAAAAATTGAAAAATTTTTTAAAAAAATGAATAAAAAAAATAAATCCACGTGTCCGCCAGGTGTCGCTGACCTGGCGGGACACCTGGCGGACACGTCACCTCCGGCGAGCCACGCGGGCGTCTCCGGCGCCAGAGGACTAAAACAGCGAAAAATTTTCACTTATGGGACTAATTTACGACATGCTCCACTTACCAGACTAAAATGATATGGGGTCCAGTTACAGGACTAAAAAAACAGTTTACTCTCTATATATATATATATATATCAATATTTTGGTATATACTGAACTTTTAATTAGGTAACGGTATACAACAATATATAAAATTTTATATCGTTATTACACAGAATGTCTAATGCAATATACCAAAAATATAGTATTTTGATATTTTTCAGTTGGTATGAACAATGTACTATAGTTTCATTATTATTATTATTTTTTTGGTTCTAATTAAATACTCCATTCGTCGCAAAAGTATAGTCTTATTGTATTGGATATGAGATTTAAGGAATATTGATATTATATTGGTAGTTGGTGAAAAGTAAGGATAAATGATTTTTTTGCCTTTGTGAGTATATTATTGTAAAAAGTAGTGACAATAGTGTAATAATAATGAAAAAATAGGGATAGTTTTATGATGATATAATTATTTATGGAAATGAGACTATTGTTTTGGGACGAACAAAAATGATAAACAAGACTATTGTATTGGGACGAGTGAATACTATACATTTGTATTGTATGGTAATAGTCTTGTTTATGAGATTTGTAGTATACTTCTTAAATGATTTGTATTTTTTTTTATAAACATGTTATTATTTCTTATGATAAATATACATAAAATTCAGTTTTATATTCTAACAAATTAGTTAAAGATTATAACTTAATTAAATTTGTAAATTTATATATATTTCAAGTGTTGGGATGCAAATTTAAATCTCACATTGACAAATTTGAAGAAAAATTTAATCTTATAAGTCTCATACGAACTTCACTAGTGTGAGGTCTTTTGAAATAAATTAAAAAACAAATTCTTGTGAACGAACAATATCATATTAGTATTAAGTTGGCTCAATTCTAACGATTGATATCAGAGTCTGGTTCGAGATTTTAAATTTATTTCAATACTATTTATTTTTTATTTTCGAATAAAAAATATATAATTTTCTCACATAAAATATCACGTCAACACACAAATTAAAACCTCAAACTCAAATCAAATCAAAACCAAACAAACTTAAATATATTTAAAATAAAATTATTTTGAGATAATATCTATCAGCATTAAATTTCTTAAAAATATCACATCTGTTGGGGGTGCAAACCCAAGTCTCACATCGAAAGTTGTGAAGAAAATTCTACACCTAAGTGAACTCCACTGGTATGAGACCTTTTGGAGAATATTAAAAAACAACGGACTCAGCTCAAAGCGGACAATATCATACTAGTGTTGAGTTGATCTAGTGCCAACAACATCAAATACTTATTTTATTTTATAAAAGGCCACATTAAATTCACAATTTTTTACTATTTCTAAAACTATTATCTTGACAAAACTTAAAGTATGTAACACAAATGATTAAAAAAATATATAGATATAAATAAATAAATAAAGGGAATGATGAGTAGGCATATAGATAGTTATAAATTAGTGATATGATAAGTGAATTAAGCATAAAGTTTTGAATGAGAAGCTCATTTATTCGACAGGTGCATGCAATATAATCTGCCTTCAACTACACGATTAATTCCATCAAATAAATAAATAAAT